GGAAGGTGGACATCACTACGCGGCGTGACATTGCAATTACTAAGCCCTGAACCCTAAACCTGAAACCCTAAACCCTAACCTTAAACCCTACACCCTTAACCTTAAACCCTAAACCTTAAACCCTGAAGCCCTAAGCCCAAGAGCCGAGGTTCAGGAGACTCAGAGCCTTCTCGGCTTCGCCTCCCCGGTCCAAGGCGCGGAGGACGGCGTTGCAGCCTTGCTGGTTTCTTGGGGTTTAGGGTTTCAGGGTTTAGGGTTCAGGGTTCCAGGGTTTAGGGTTGCAGGGTTTAGGGTTTCAGGGTTTAGGGTTTCAGGGTTTCAGGGGTTGGAGTTTTGGGTTTCAGGCTGAGGGTTTCAGGGTTTAGGGTTTCAGGGTTTAGGGTTCGAGGTTTATAGGCATCTGGGGTAGTTCTCTAAATTAGGGTCCCTTTTAGGGTCCTTTTTATAAGGGTGCCGTACTATATTGGGGGCCTAAAAAAAAGGGACCCTTATTTAGAGAACTACTCATTTTGGATGTAGGGCTTCAGGGCTTTAAAGTTCAGGGTATTAGGTTTAGGATGGTTTAGGGCTTTGGGATTTTTGGTAGGGCTCCTTTCAAGCATTCCTGTACAGGCTCGATGAAGGTTTGGGGTTTAGGGGGCTGTTTGGTGTCTCTGGTGCTGAATCCCCTAAACCCTAAACCCTAAACCCTCTGAAAGGGCTCGAGATTCGGAGGGCTCAAGGGCTTGGGGTTTAGAGGGCATTTGGTCCAGCTCTCGGTCTTGGAGGGTCTTAGGCTCTAAGGTGCTATTCTTTCAGGTCTAGGGCCAGGGTATGAGCTCTTTCTAGAGTTCAGTGGGTTTGAGAACCTGGAGGCTATTTTAGGTTAGGGTTTGCAGAATTCTTTGGGGTGTTGGGTTCAGAACTCCCCAGCTCGACTCCAGTCATGCTATGACCCTGAAGCCGAAGTTGCAAAGCTTCAACTCTCGAAGCGCTCGGCCCTCGACGGTGCGAGGCTTTGTGCCCCTTTAAAAACCTTTGAATCTTGGCTAAATATGGGAGTTTCCGAAAATAGGGGACCCTAATATAATATAGTACCCTAAATAGTAGGTCCCTTATTATAAGGACCCCCAAAATAAGGTACCCCTATTTTCGGAAACTCCCATATTGCACTGACAGTAAGTCCTGAACATGAAAAGATGTAGGTGGACTATGCAAGCTGCCTATCAAAGAAGTCTTCAAGGATCCTACACAAGATGGATACCTGGAAAATGGTCCTATCTTAGCCCTCTATTTCTCTGACACCTTTCTCAGGGATCCTGGATTTGGATCGTTGGCAGGGACCGGTCACAAATCTAGTCAGAATAAAATTTTGAGTACAATGCTGCACATGCCTAGGGATAGCTCTGCACTTGCGCCAGCATGAATTTCACCAGCTATAGGCTTCGAAATCATTACCCATGTCATGCGCTCATAGTACTGCTTCTGAATGTCGTTAACGTAATCCTCAAACTGAACACTCCTTCCGACGCACGCCGACACGTGGCCACGCTGCGTGGCTGGGGTGAGGCTGCCGCATGCTGCCTCCCACGAAACTACTTCGGATTCGGGCTTAAGGTTTCAATTCCGACAGTTGCAGCTTTACCCTGTGCCATGATGATAATCCTTACTGCAGCTTTACCAAGGGCCCTAAACTCTAGACTAATCAACGGGCTAAGTTACGGCCTAAGAACTCACAGTTGTTTGTGGCGTTGGCGTTGGCCTCTGCTAAACGACTACCCTCAACCCTCAACCATGACTCCAACCGCAAACTCGAATTTCGCTTCTCAGGTTGTGGGCTTTGGGGATCGAGCGGTTTAGGGTCGCCTCCCAGTGTGCGGCAGTGCCCAAGGCCGCCATGCGCACGTGACCTTAGCTTCGGGTCTGTTTCAACGATTACGACTACCACTGCTACCACTACTACTACCACTACCA